AATTTATGCAGAAAATACCGAGTGTTCAGGCTTGAATGGTTAGCCGTTCGGCCAGGCAAGGTCCAAAGAGGTCCCACTAGCCAGAGGATCGGTTATGAAGCCACGACGAAGCTCGTAAAAGCGTTCCCGGGACACCTCTGTACGAACCGGACGGCCATTGTGTCCGAGTTCCCTCGGAGCCGGCTTTCCATTATCGTCGTTCGTCTCATTAGCGCACACCTGCGAGAGCTGCTTTAAAAAGAATTTCAGCCCCACGACGTGTACACTCCTCGGCTGGGTAGAGGCTCTCTCTTCTCTTGCCATCCGAGGAGGAGAGCGTGAGTCTCTCGGTTCACGTGTTTCTTCGTGGCTGGTGGAAATTGCAGCGGACAGCTGTACTCTGTTCCTGGCAGAGCCAGTTTAGTACGATCCTCACGTCCTTCGTAATTCGTGAAGCGAATCCACCAGTTTCATCCTCGGTTCCCTCAAGGACAGTAACAGAGTACTACCGAGCCTCTGTCTCGTTGCAACAATCGATGCTGGTAAAAAGCGAGAGGAAAACAAGGCCTTGCTTTGAAAATATCAAATACGAGAGGCGTAGGAGGAGGTAGAGGGTGTTGCGCAAATATTCCCCTACGGTAATCGTCGCGTTATCTCGTTCCTAATGCAAACTCGTGAAATTATCTCACCGCCCGCCTGCATCCACGGTGAGTTCTCTTTCGTGCATCGTGCGAGGTTGCGTCACGGATGATTCGACACGCCCAGTTGGATATTACTGACTCGTTTGTTTATGTCGATCGCGAAACGAGAGTTTCGGATGATAGCAGGAGAGAAGCGTGGTTCGGATGAAATATAGGTGCGAACGGGGAATTAGGAGACGAGAGGGAGAGCCGCTGCCGTTGTGTCATTGAGGACAGAAACGGAAGGGCATCTGAGTCAGGAGCCTTATCGTTTAACTGCGCAAAAATGCTTCGAGTGAAAAACATCGTTAATGCGTCGGCCACGCGAGTGCACACATAGCTTCTCTCTGTTCAACTGCATCGGCAGACCGACGCGACGTTTCTTTTCCCGCCCACGCGCCTCTTTCTTTCTTCTTTCTCCGTTGCGCCGCCTTTTTTTAAATAAAACCAGAGGCGCCTAAGAAACGCGTGCCTGCGTAAACAACTCGTTTATCGGCTATAAATACACTAGCCGAGTATGTATGCAGGTGTTTGCTGGCTGTCACGTGTGTAACCAAGAGGTGTGGGTGGTCGCGTGTACTCCCAGTGACGTTCCTTCGGATCGATTTTGCATAGCGGACGTAATATCTGCTCTTATGATGCACCTCGGTGAAATTAATCGAGAAATAATGAATTAATGATCGAGCATCGTGCGGGCGGCGCGAATTTCGGACGGTCAGTGTGTCGCTCGGAGCGACGCGATAGGCAAATGGACTGATTAAAATTCCAAGGATGGGCCCGCTTGGCCTTGACGAGGCCTTAACAAGCTGCAGCCCGGATGCGTGTAGCACTTACGTGTCCTTGCAGCGGCGCATCGGGTTCGCAAATCACTTTGCGAGACGCGTATCCGTCCTTGGTCGACACATGTTCCTTTTCTTCGTACTATTTCCTGGGGAAATAATCACCCTTTCGCTAAAACCCTTTGCGGTACATCGTGGCACAACTTTACAGTTTAAATATGTCAAATTTGGCTGGTACTTTCAGTATAGTTGAATTTTAATTCTAATTTGCTTAATTCTATGCATATTTCAGTATTTTAAAATTAATTAGCTCTGACTGATGCAATTATCGAAAAAATCATAGACGAACGGGTTAACCCATTCACTGCCAGGCAAATTTAGAGCGTTTTGTCCTGGGCGCCAAGATTTTATTTTAAGGAAATGTAAATTATTATTTTGATAATAAAAAGTGTTAATGAAAAGTTGGCAGTGAATGGGTTAACACGCGGGAATGTTACTCTTGAAAATCCATGAATGACATTCGAGTGCTTTAAATACACTTAAGATATCTGAAACGCCAATTTTTTCTACGTAACTCGATACATTCGATTAAAAGCCTCGCTTCTTGAGGTCCAAACTTCTTTCATTCTCTGCTCGAGGCGTTGCGTCCATGAGTTCCAATCATAAAGGAAGGAGAAAAAAGTGCGTTCGGCGAAGAATTTCTCGGAAGGGTCTGAACGTTTCGAGGAACCGAGCTCCCTCGTTCGGCCGATGAATTACGTTACGAAGATAAAGAAGGCATGAATTGGCGTTGCACGCAACGTGCCGGGGTGTCTATCGATGAACGACACACACGGTCATTCATAGCGCGGCGTGAAAATGAGAATCGATTGCGAAACTCTTCCTAGAAATCTAAACCGAGTACTAGCGGCGGACGGGTATCGCTCGGTGTCGAGTTGCGAAAACTGATTCACTCACGAATATCCGCGTAACACGGCTCCTATTACTACGAGATCACTTGTAGAAGCAAACTTGTCGGTCGGAAAGTTGTTTACTCGGGAAGTTACGGTTGCTCGATGATGTTTCCGATGACGCTATCAATTGTTTTTCGCGCATCGTATCACGAAAAATGAGAACGTCATGGAAAATATCGAAATCCTTTCCTCTTTCATCTTAGCCACTTTAGCATTTTCACGCCGATCAAGATTGCTAATTGATCGATTATAATTTCAAATTCGTGTAATTGATTCGTATACGTTGATTGATCATCGAGAAATCGACTTTATAAATAGATACACCGCTAGAGTCATCGACGATTTCCTGTTTCAATAGGCAGCTATTTTTAAAGTATTCAAAATGAAGCGTCTCGTCGACGAGAAATAGCTGCAGAGTGGAGGCGCGATAACGAAAGTCCGAAAAGGCTGCGATAAGCCGAATTTCGTTTCGGAAGCGAGACCGTCAAGGTTAGATAATAATTTTCCTCCGGACAGAAACACGCTCGGCGGGTCCGTTTCTTGTGTACACCACCCTCGGCTGTGTTTGACGATAGTACGCACGGTCAGCAGGCGGTTCGATAAACCGGTTGCAGCGGAATAAATTGAGAACCGCGAAACGGTGTGTGTCATTTCTTTTTTAACAAACCTCCTCGTCAGCCGTACACGATGCACGGCTTAATGACTCCGCGAGCGGTTTTTCTTTTTTAAGTATCCCTCTCGAGCCGAGGCTGCTTGCACACATGAATTATACTTCACGGAGCGGTGATTAAAAGAGAAAGTAACGGGTTAGAGAGACTGTCCACGATGGGGCAATCTCTTGTCTGCCGCAACACAGTTGTTTCCGTGTTAATCGTTCGAAATGGCAAGCAATGCAAATGGATGAGTATGGTGGTAAACCGTGTGTGTGTGTGTCGTTTTTGATATTGTGTTCGATTCAGGACGATACGATCATCATTTGACGCGCAATCGAGGGATATTCGTGTCGTGGGAAATGGACACGCGCGATCCCGGGATTCGCATACATCGAGCGATAATAATGACTCTATTGATTCTCGTTCTCGCGAAGGTTGCGCAATCAACGGCAAAACATTAGTCATCACGAAAATGAGAGAGCGAGAGAGGAAACGTGTGTGCAGTCCGCGTAAGTGGCGATGATTGAAAATAAACGGCTTGGGTTAGCGTCATGTAAATTAACGAAGGAGACAACCGTGTATGCAACGGGGCCTCAGCTTTTTTCAATCGGAACGTGCAAATATCGGTTTTCGAGGCGTCGATTATATCGTTGATTATATGCGCGACGACCGATCATTGTTGATTACGTTCTATGCAAATCGATCCCGTTCGCCTTTCTTTTTTTTTTCGGCATGACGAATTTCAACGAGACTCGCCTCGGCTCGCGCGAAACAACGGGTTACCTTATTCAGTTAATGGCCATGAATTACTCTTCAATCGTCTCGGTGTTAATAGACGGACTTGGGACGGAAAAAGACTTACGGCTGATGATGGTACGTTCGAACCGCACGCTTTAATAAAGAATTATTAAAGATAAGATGATTCAACTAGTTCAATTCCACAGAGGAAATAACATATTTAGTACGGTACTTTCAATTAACTGCAAGGTTTATCCATCGGATAATTGGTATTCGAAAGGAGATATATATTTCGTCCGCGTACCGTTTCACGAATTCGGTCAACGCACGTTGTACTTCTTTCTACGTATGTACGCGTGTCACAGCCGTCGAAAGAGAATGCAGGTTGCATAATTCGAAACGGACCTCTTGCGTCGATTTTTCCCCCATGCGTACGCTGCGATAAGTGCGCAATATTTCCGTGACCCTCGGCTGACATTGCCAAAAGTTACGAATGCGGGTGACGATGTAAAGGATGGGATGGGAGTCTGGTCGAGTGGAGGCCAAGGTTAAGGTCGCTTGGTCCCCACCTACGATGCCACCAACGCCTCCATCTCCTTCCAAACTGACTGACGGACTCCTGTCCCTGCACTTCTGCTCCTTTTCTTCTCTTCCTGACGCTGACGTAACTTCCTCTCACGGTCATCGCCACGATTCTTTCGTGTTTGTCATCCAGTCGAAAAATATCCATGTTTTTTCCGTGTTTCGTTGCGACCTTTACGGATTTTCCTCAACATCGATATTTGCCTTTCAAATCGACGCAACTTTACTTATCTCGTGCGAGCTATTCTGCTCGAATTGAAAAACGAAATTCAAGTTTCCACGTCGATCGCAGCGGAATCAGACGTTAAGGGTCAGTGAAGTGTAATGTTCAGATAGGCGCGCGTACTCTCGCATTTGAATCGAAACGCGTTACATACGTAGTTTTCTCCCCGCACGCGTAACTTTTATACGCGGTGGATAAATACGCGAGTTCTAAAACGTCGCGACACCCTCGCTTTGCGCGGAGGGTTATCGAGCTCCTGGGGGTTGGGAGAATTATTATGTACCGCGAGAAAAGCGTCGAAAACTCTGCAATTTTTTTCCTCGCCGGTGATTTTAGCGAGGTGGATCGCGGTGAAAATGACAGAAAAATCCGGATGCCACGATTTCTAAAGGGAAATTGCACGTTTGTTACAGGCAAAGTTGCGGTGCGAATGGTATCTTCTCACGTCGCCTAGACTTCAGCGCTTTCAACAGTCTGCCGCGCACCAAGCTGAACTCCTACCACATCAAGGTGAGTAATTAATTAATGTCTATGTGTTTCGCGCGACGCGTAATCAAGAATCGAACAAACGTGCGAGACTAGCGCTGTAGAGGTTCTGCTCGAGGAAAGTTTGAAATAGTAACCCGGTTAGAGTCGCAGGAAAGCGAGGAGCCAGCTATATGGGATTCCTTAAAGCGGAAGATACGCGATAGAGCAAGGTCACGATGAACCACCGTGGTTCCTCTACCTTTAAATTTCGTTTAGAGAATCTTCTTCCTAGAAAATCGTTGATTTTTCAATTATCAAATAAAAATTCTGTAGCGTTAGTGTTATATTAAATTTCATTTCGTGAAATTTCTCTCTTCGTCGAGGGTTTGTTTACCGTTGTCCGAGAAACGAATCGCGGGGAATACCACCCCCGACGCCCCATTGTCCTTGATATGGGGTGAGCTATGTACGTTTCGTATCTGCGCCGCAACCCCATCAAAGTAATCTCCCGCACGAAAAGCTGGCTTTCCTTCTCTTTTTCTGTCTCTCGTAGCTCGCGTAAAAGTCGGTGCTCGTTGAGCCCTGGCGAATCCTTTGCCCGGCTGGACTGCGTCGTAACACTGTCGTCCTACCCCAAATACGAGAGGGAAAATCAATACCATCGTCCCTCGCGTGCATTTACAAACCACACCACCCCTCTACGTCCGTCTGTGTTCGTGTTTGCTCCGCTTCGTTATTACCCCCGAATCTAGACAGGAATTTCATTCGTGGTAGTATTTAGACGCGCACGAACACTGAAAAGGCGAGCTTAAAAAGCTTAATCAGCCCCACGGACGTGACACACGAACTGCGTACAACGCGTTGCGGTAGGTCGATCGATGATGAAGGCTTTCGGCCACGGCGCAATAGGGTTCACACCATCCTGGAAAGAATTGCCGAATTCCCTCGTGTGTCACGATGATTTATAGCATTTATTCGTTGTGTAGGGGATGATAAAACAATCGAGAAGTATCGCTACGCATTATCGCCAACCGTGTATTCGTTGCGTGGCAGAGGTAAATACAAAAATGCCACAGTGATTTTGATGATTCTCCGATAAAACGATGAAATTGTACCCGCAATCGTTCCCGCGACGATTTGGAATCCACGGCCACGGTAAATTTGATGGATTACAAATTGATTGAACGACGCGGTCGCGTGACGCTGTAAATCCGGCCAATAACGAGCGATTATACGCTCCCGTCAAGGGACAGAGCGAAATTGATTGCATGATAGACGAGCGCATAATTCATACGTTCGAAAATCATTTCGTTTTAATAACGGTTCGCGTGAGTTTCCCGCATGCGTTCGGTAGAGGATGCAGGAGAGTGTGCACTTTCCAGCTAGGAATTAGCCGCTGTTTCGAGAGTTGGCTCGTGAAAATAAAGAATGACTGGGCGAAATAGCTGGTCGCTCCCTTTTGACGTGTTCGGTGAGTGCGTCGAAACGAGCAACCATAACGGAGTCACCCCATTGGCGAGCTTCCAGAGGGATTAACATCGAAAAAAAATAAAAAAAACTAGCAACGAAGGGGTTAATTTGTGGATTCGAAACACCAACAGCACGCTCAGTGCGTTGCCACCGAACATTTACGTTCGAGTTTTGTAAAATATACCAAGAGAGAGAGTGTAATAAGAAAGAGGAAAAGGGGGGAGGGAAAGGGTAGATTTTACGTCTGGCTTTTTCGCATAACCTTTCATCGTAACGCGAGTTCGGCCTCGAGAAAGGTAGCTCATAAAAACCTCTTCATCGTCTGCCTCTCCTTTTCGTCGTCTACGTTATTTATTCGTTTTGCAAACGCAGAAAAGGCACGCTTTATTAGAAGCAACAATGCTCGCGGTGCAATGTCGGGAAGCAACGCAAGGTTTACAACAGCGCGTGCGGATTCCTTTCATTTTCCAACGCGTGAAAAGCCCGCTCCGCGTTTTACGGTCGACCTTCCACGTGGAAATAAAAGCAGTTTGCACGCGTGCTTCGCGTGAATAAGCGACCGTTTTCGAATCTTTGGCTCCGTTGATCGTTAATCCGGAAAGCAGCGGGAATGCGATCAATTTTCTTCTTCCTTTCAATATGCATCACGAGAGGGTAGGTGCATATGCAAGAGAGCGATGAGGCAGGAGGAACCCTCGAAACCACTCTGGCTTCGAAAGCACCCTTTGTTTGAGGTCCTTCCATGGCAACGTGTGCGCAACTTAAAAGCTCTCCTATCCGATAATCGTATTCGAGAAACTCGATCGTTCTTAACGCGTTCATCCTTTTATTTTATGCATCCGAGATTGCAATTTCCAATTTGAAAGAACGAGATATCGCGTCTCGAAACCGTCGCGTCGTATCACTAGAGTGGACAATAAATCGGCGACGAGGAGCGACGAAAATGGGAAAATGGCGTGCCACGGTGCAGTTACTCGAGTCATTTGGTGTACTTATAGATTGGGGTGTGGCTAGCTCGGTCTACTCTCCGATTGCTATCCTGCAAGTGCATCGAACTCCGTTCTCGAACCTTGAAAGCGCTCTTAAATATCATTTCTCAAGCATAATTAATCTTCTGTACTTGAAACTTTCAACTTCGGTATACACAAAGTATAAAATGAAACTAAAAGCAGCCCGTACGACGAAAGTGTACACGATCGTTTTTTTGGCCGGCTTCTTTTCCCGCAGTGAAAGGGTTAAGAGGCGGTGAAACTGCTTCGCTACCTTTTTAACGGCGGTGCAGCAAAATATTTTGTTCTCGGTTACGGAAGTAGAAGCCTCTCGACGAGTCGAGCGGAAGAGCCACCGCTCGTGGCAGAGTTCTCTGAATGGCACTCGTGACCGAGGGAGTGGAGATTAATTAAAAGGACGACCGTCGAGAATCTTCTGTTGCAATTCCAGTACCTTCTGCTCGAGAAAGCTTCCCTTCTTCCTGGTTTAAAGCTCATCCTCTTATTCGCTTATCCACTACGAACGATTGACATTGATTCTCGACTTAACTGACGCTGATGTACGCGACAGTCCGGTCGAAGTTAATAGGAAATACTAGGAATTTCTCGTACACCGAGTAGATACCGGTAAGATTCCCGGATCCTCTCTGTCTATACTGAAGGAATAGAGAAAGGTCGATGGACATTCGAGTAAGGAGAGATATCGGGAGAGATCGGTCGCCGCGACTTTTTGCTACGGTCTAGGGAAATCGATTCCGTGGGAGTCTAATTGCCTGGTTGTTTAGTGACTTTGAGGAAAATAGAAACATTGCTGAGTTATTATAAATCATCGGAATTCAAAGGATTTAAATAGATTTAAATAGACACACCGTTAACGATAAATAGCCTTCCAAGTTTTCTCTGTCTATAATACCTAGGAACATTAACCCTCCGCTTATTGGAACAGGTACTTAACAGCTAGGTATACGAAGCCCAGCTTGCAGCCAGGTATAAGGGATCTATTCATCGGATACTCGGTAAATCCAATAGGGCAAATCAGCTTGAAAGCCTGTAATCGATGCGCGAACGCCTGTGTTACCCGTTTGCCGGTACGTCGGGAGGGAAAACGCGGGGGTTAGCGGAATTAATAACTATTGGCCTGTGTCGTTTCATTCGGTGTAGCTTTCCGGGGATTAAACGAGATATTGGCTCGAGCGGTCTATATCGGTGGCGTGCAGGCCCTGAATTTCTCCAGTAGCGTTGCAAGAACCGTTGCGTTATTCCTAAGATAGTTTCCAAGTAATATAATCCGAACTCGGCCCCTTACTGCCGGCGTTGATTAAATTCAGAGGTAGCAGGAAACGATGGACGCGGAAGTTGGAGTTTCTCGCCAGTTTTCGGCGAACGGTGGCTTTCCTAATTTCGTTATGTCGTAACGGGGACCTCGCACCGTATATCCGTGTTTCGAGTGCCTTTCCGTTCAAGTTTGATTGAATTCTGAATCACCACCAGAATGATCGTCCTAATCCCGTGTACTAATTACCTGCGCCGATTAGAATTACGAGAGCAATTAGTTGAAGGGATTTTAAAACGAACGCGTTATTTAACCGGCGTGTACGGCGGTCGGGTTGGAAACTGTCGCGACGAAAAACGAGTCCAAAAGGGGTGCGTTTTCTTTCTTCCTCCATCTCGTCCTACCTTCATTTTTTTTTTTTCTTCAAATCCCTTTTTGTTCCCTGATGGGTACATTTTGTGCGTTAACCCTCGTTCCAGAGCCGACTCGCGGCGCACACAATGGAGCTTTGCATTAAAGGTCATTAGCTTAAACGTTCGCCTTCCTGTTGCGCAACCCGCGCAATTCACCGGCCCGTTACTCGCGAGCGAGCGCATTTCAGCGGAGAAATAATTGTGCTTTTTTTCCTTCCACTATATCCCCCGTTTCCAGCGACTACTCTTTCTACTTTTAACGCTTTGAATACCACGGAGTTTATCGACACCAGAAATTGAATACATTCGAACAGCAATTCTAAGTAACCGCTGTGTTATGTAAAAAGAATACGAAGAGCGATTTAAGGAAATAATTGGTACGAGTAGACCTGTTAACGAGGCGCGCTGATGAGAGAAACACGAAGGGGCTGTTAGTTTCTTTTCCCGAAGAGGAACGTTCGCGTGGGCTATCCTTGACATTTCTCCCTAAACTGGGATAAGTCCTGGTGGCTCCCTCGAGACCAGGACCTACCTCAACCGGATCGATCCAAGATAGCCCCACGCTTTTCTCGCCCCACGTCACGCACACGCAACTATTTTTAGCCCTAAACTTGACGGTGGTACGTAAACTGTTGTATGCTGCCTGGTTCCTTGGTTTATGTCAAGGAAAACACGAAAGAACAACCACGTTGGTTCGAAACACCGAAAAATCGAATTTCCAATGAAAATACCATACCCGATCTGCACGAGTAATAACGATTCTACGTTTATTAAGAAATTTTTATACGCGCGGGTGAGAAACGAACACTGATTTCACCGAAACACGTGATTCGTTCACGATAGGACCGTTGGTTTGCTAATAACCGGTTAAGGGGATACTTTCTCCCGGTTCTCATC